GGACTCTTCCCAATCTGCCCCTTCTTCCATCTCCACTCCTAGCGAATATTCAACTGTCTCCCCCATATCTTACCTTTTTCATAGGAGTTAGATCAGGTGAGCAGAAATCTGGAAAGTGCCTTCTGAAGCAAGGCTCTGGTAACTACTGTAAAACACAGAAGTAACAAAATGTTGGTAAGACAACATTCTCCAGGGCCATGTTGTTTGCCAAAAGTGAAAATTTCCAATAAGGGTTTTCAAACACAACATACCTGGCTGGAATAAATTTCTTTGCTGCAAAAGAAAAGGAGAGACATTAGCATTTGGGTATTTAAGGCTACAGTTCTATGCACATTTGCCTGGGAGTGATCTCCTTGGAATCCAAGGGGACCTGCATAGGCTAGGATGTAACTTCATTTACAGAATGTTTTCTTCGCCATTAATCATGGAACCTACATGACTTCTATACATTTGTTGTTACTCTTCCAGTGATAAATACCACCACGGACAGTTAACTACTGGAACTCACTGCAACAGGATGTACTGACGGCCAACAGTTTAGGGTGGCTTTAGACCAGGATGAGACAAATGGGCCCATCTATGGCTATCAGCCACGACCTCTAAATGACACTTCCATGCTCAGAGGCAGTGTACTTCTGATTACCAGTTTGCTGGGGGGAGGGACAATGTGCCACACTTTGGCCTTTATGCTTTTAGGGCATGTGACCGGCCACTGAGGGAGGCAGAATACGGGATTAGATGGACTGTTCGTCTGATCCAGCAAGGATTGTCTTATGTTCTTAACAGCAATATGGTAGCTCCATAGGGGTAGAGAGGAATACTACCATTCTTTCTTGTTTAAAAAAAAATGCCCCATCTGCTCTGTAAAGATTTTCACCACCTTCTTAAGGTCATAGTAGTTTCAGTTCTGAATCTAAGTTACTTTATTGTTGAATTCACACCAGCCTTTTCCATACAGCTGTGAAATGCTCCCTCTGAGCTGTGGAGTCCTGTGTGCAAAAATTCTACTTTGTGAGCTACCGGCATTAAAGTTGTGAGCGGGCAATTTGGCTACTGCATAAATTAGTTTGCTCTGGAGCCCTCCTCCCTGAGCTAAGACAAAAATGTGTGAGGCGGAGGCTAAAAAACTGTGAGCTAGCTCACACTAACTCAGCTTAGAGGGAACACTGTGTGAGTCAATCGCTTTTTTGAAATCTAAGCCCTGGTGCCATGCAGTGAAGTGGCCAGTGTGGATGTCAACAGCATGCATTGAACTGAGGAACGTGTAGAACCTCAAGGACTATTTCTGGCCTGTTCTACCTGATTTCAAGAGTTGGGGGGAGATTGCTCACCTTTTCTTCGAATGCGCTTCAAGAGCCAGACAAGAAGCGATACTACTGACAAGATGGAGGCTCCAGTAGCTGCTGTTACAGTGCTTATATAACTTGCGACATCCGACTGAGAAGCTAAGGAAGAAGAAGAAGAAGAGATTGGATTTATACCCCGCCCTTCACTTGGAGTCTCAGAGTGGCTTACAATCTCCTTTCCCTTCCCCTCCCCACAACAGACACCCTGTGACGTGGGTGGGGCTGAGAGAACTCTGACACAAACTGCTCTTTTTCAAGGACAGCTGTGCCAGAGCTTGTGACTGACCCAAGGTAACATCAGCAGGTGCAAGTGGAGGAGGAGTGGGGAATCAAACCCGGCTCTCCCAGATTAGAGTCCGCACACTTAACCACTACACCAAACTGGCTCTGGAAGGAAGAATTTGCGTGAAGTTAGTAGGAAAGCATTTTTTAAAATAACTTCTGCTTCCATTGCATCCATTTTTGTAACTGGAAGGCCATACTCTGTGTTTATTTCCTATGATTATGAAGATGTCAAGACGAATAAGACGTGATGTTCTATTATCAGGTTCTTAGTCTCTTCCTCGGCTTCCATAATTGGGGGGGTTGTTTGATCTTTTAAATTACGTCTTGTAAGCTGCCTCAAGCCATGGAGAAAGGCGGGACGCAAATGTTTTAATAAATAAACAAACCCAATCAACAGAATAGCTGTACTTTGCTTGGAAGACTTATCGTCCTCCTGTAGATGGGATACTAACGACCTCTCATTTGCGATTTGTTCATTTCCCTGGCCAATCAGTTAAAAAGAAATGGCACTGGAGGAGGTCCTCAATTATGGTGGGGTGGGGAAATCACTGCCTTGTTCAATAGTTAGACAGATTTGTGGAAGATAAGTCTATTGCTGGCCAATGCTCTAAGTTGTGGAGTCTTGTGAGCAAAAATTCTACTTTGTGAGCTATTGGCATTAAAGTTGTGAGTGAGTGATTTGGCTATGGCATATACTAGTTTGCTCCAGAGCTATCCTTCCTGAGCTAAGACAAAAATGTTTGAGCCAGAGGCTAAAGAACTGTGAGCTACCTCACACTAACTCAGCTTAGAGGGAACACTGTAAATGCTGGCTATTAACCATGGTAGCTGAATGGGACTTCCAGGCTCAGAGGCAGAATACCTCTGATTGCCATTGCCAGAGGCTAGGAAGCAACCACTAGGGGAGGGCTGTTGTTTGCCGGCTAATTCCCTGTGGCATCCAACTGGCCATTACAGGAGACGGGATACTGGGCTAGATGGACCAGTGGTCGGATTCAGAATGGTTGCTCTTTCCTTCTTGTCCCTTGCTGCTTCTCAATAAAGCCCAGTGGCCTCATTAGGATGCTAATGAGGTGCACCCAAGGCAAGGATACTAATGAGATGGGCAAATACCTTCACATGTGGGAAGCTCTGCTGTCCAGTTTCCTGAAGCGAGACACTGGAGTGTGGAGAAGCCGTGCAAGACCCACCCATCCATACAGCTGACCTCGCAAAGTGTTCTGTAGGCAAAATCTGGGTGTGAACAATTCAAGAAGCCCTTCTCCGGAGCTGTCGGTCTTTTGCACTTGGCAACTGAAATGGGGGAGGGGGGAAAGGCAGACAGGCAATTAACACAGTGGATAGTGGGCAATGCAAAAGGTTTCATTCTAGAACGTGCATTTTAGAGGTCAAAACAGCACAGCTTTTGCAGAAAAGAGATTATTAGGTTAATGCTAGCCATTAATTTGCATATTAATTGCATATGGGTTGCCAACTCTGGGTTGGAAAATTCCTGGAGATTTTGGTTAGGGTTAGAGCCTGGGGAGGACAGGGATTGAGGAGGAAAATGAGCTCACTGGGGCACAATGCCATAGACTTCATCCTCCAAAGCAGCCATTTTCTCAAGAGGAACTGGCCTCTATTGTCTGGAGAGCAGTGGTAATCGTGGGAGATCACAGAATCATAGAATCACAGAGTTGGAAGGGGCCATACAGGTCATCTAGTCCAACCTCCTGCCCAATGCAGGACCAGCCTAGAGCATCCCTGACATAGGTCAAATCTGCATTTGAATTTTTAAATCAGTTTCATGCTTCTGTGACGCCGTCTTTCTCTATGCTTGTTTGAACGTTGTTTGGAGAAGATTCTTTTAAAGCAGTGGGGAGGCGCAATGACAGTGGAGCCGCCATGGGGAAGTGCAATGACAGTGGAGCCGCCACGAGAAGGTGATAAACATATGTGGATGTGCAAAAGTATGCTAGCACTGTTGAGGTGTGAAAATGAAACCAAATTTTTGAAGATGGAGTCAGAAGGCTGGGACACCTGTGGGAAAGAAAAATGCAGATTCGGCCATAGATCTCCAGACCCCCTCCGGAGGCTGTCAACCCTCGGGAAGAGTGGACTTAAATACGATCAGGATAAAAGCCGCTCTTCAGCTCTGAGTGCCACAGACTCCTCACAGAGGCCCCAGCGCCCCATTTTCACACACGGGGAAATGGTTTTAGTTATACTTTTTTACTGATTGAATTCATCTTCGAGATTTCTTTCATTAGAGATATGAGCAGAGCCCTGTCACATGGTCCTCCAAGTATTTATATTTATTTATTTATGTATTACTTTCAATTTATATCCCACCTATCATCATCATCATCATCATCAATATAATGATTTTGCCCCACCTTTTGGCCTTCATAGGGCCACCAGGGTGGCTAACAAATTAAAAGGTACAAATTAGATTTTCATCTTAAAAGCCATTAAAACCAACACACAAATGCATCATTAAAACAAGTTAAAACCAGAGCTTAAGATACACACAAAAGATAAAAAATACCAGCATGTAACTCTGCTTCGGAGAGCACTGGTACCGTCTCTGTGCCCAGACAGCAGGTAGACACATGGACCTGAGAAGTGAGGAGAACCAGCGAGGTTCTGCTTTTATTCCCAGTCAAAAGTTCTGCCTACATGGCTCAAGGACTGCGTAGGTAGGGCTTAGGGATTCTTAGTGGAATATAATGGCATGGAATAGCTGCAGATTTCCCCCCCCCTCAGAATGTTCTCATACACTTCCACAGTAGGCTGAACTCTTACCTTCACAATGAGGAACTGGTGCCGACCAGAGTCCCTGTGAGGAACACTGGATTTGGGACTGTGCGGACTCTAATCTGGGAGAACCGGGTTTGATTCCCCACTCCTCCACTCGCACCTGCTGGATGACCTTGGGCAAGCCATAGATCTGTCAGAGCTTCTCTCTCAAGGACAGTTCTCGAAAAAGCTCTCTCAGCTCCACCTACCTCACAGGGTGTGTTTTGGGGTGGGGAGGGGAAGGGAAAGGAGTTTGTAAGCCGCTCTGAGACTCCAAGTGAAGGGCAGGGTATAAATCCAATCTCCTCCTCCTCCTCCAGCAGCATTCAGTGTTCCCTCTATGCTGAGTGTGAGCTAGCTCACAGTTTTTTAGCCTCTGGCTCACACATTTTTGTCTTAGCTCAGGAAGGGTGGCTCCAGAGTAACCTAATTTATGCAGTAGCCAAATCGCTTGCTCACAACTTTGATGCCAGTAGCTCACAAAGTAGAATTTTTGCTCACAAGACTCCACAACTTAGAGGGAATATTGGTTTCAGTATATAAACATGTGGAATAGGAATCCTGGTTCTAGCCATTGCTTTCAGAATGTTATCAAACCTTTCCATGGAAGGCTGAACTCTTACCTTCACAATAAGGAACTGGTGCCGACCAGAGACCCTGTGAGGAACACTGGATTTGGGACGATCCTGTCAAGGTGTAGCCCTCCTCACAACCGAACTGACAGGTTGAGTTGAAGACCAATTCTGTGTCAGTGTGGGAACAGTTCACAAACCCACTTTCAGGCTGAGGTACCGCATCGCATTTCACCGCTGAAACAGACACAGACAGTAGCTCAGATGGTAAATTCAGATGTGATACAAGGAGGCCATGCAGGTGGAGGGATAAAATTCATTTAATAACTGGGATCAAACTTATGACTTTGAGGTTAAGTTTCAGTACATAAACATGTGGAATAGGAATCTGGGCTCTAGCTATTGCTTTTTAGAACATTATTAAACTTTTCCATGGAAGACTGAACTCTTACCTTCACAATGAGGAACTGGTGCCGACCAGAGTCCCTGTGAGGAACACTGGATTTGGGACGATCCCGTCAAGATGTAGCCCTCCTCACAACCGAACTGACAGGTTGAGTTGAAGACCAGTTCTGGGTCAGTGTGGGAACAGTTCACAAACCCACTTTCAGGCTGAGGTACCGCATCGCATTTCACCGCTGAAACAGACACAGACAGTAGCTCAGACAGTAAATTCAGACGTGATACAAGGAGGCCATGCAGGAAAAAATATGAATAAAAATCCATATAAATAATGGGATCCGGCTTATGACTTTGAGACTGGGTTTTGATAGATCATTGAGTAGAACAGAATCCTAACTTTGGCTGTGGTTTTCTCAGA